TATGATCTAATCTGAACTTATTTTTTCTGATCTAAATATTTCTAAAATAAGTAAAAATAAGTTGAACTAAACAAGACCTAAGTTAGGATCAATATGGAAATTGACATATGATGTAATCGGTTCGGTCTTCATCCAGTCCAAACTCGGAATAAAACGCACATAAGACCGAACCCGGGTTTTAATGTTTGAAAGTTCTTTGCTAAGAACCCTTGAAATTAAACGTTTTAAGGAAATTAAACCTCACATTACACATTCATTACCTTGAAAAAATCCTTAAATTTTTTTTTTATATAAAACAGCCCTTTACGCTGTACATGAATCGCAACCTCTAAGCTCTTCACATCTTCTCAAAATTCTTTTATGGTTGATTGGTTGTATTGAAGTTGAGTGCTTCTCTATAAGTTTGGTTATAGTGTATATTTCTACTTCGATTAAAAAATAAAATAAAAATTAAAAAAAAAAAAAAAGCATACACGGAGTACAATGTATAGTAATTTAGTCATTCCCTCTTTTAAGGATTAATCTTTTTTTTTTAAACTAATTTTTCGGATTAATCTTAATAAGCTCAATTCATATATTAAAGAAAATTACAAGTGAAAGAGCAAACGATTGAAAGTCAATACAAGTGGGGTTAGTGAGACTCGTAGATATATAAATGAATCAATTTTGGATTAGGGGGAGTATCACCCGTTTTCCATTTATGTAATTCGGGTTTTCATACATTTTGACCATTTATATAGAGCGGATGATCAGATAAATTGATACCATAATAACATTATCATTCTTAAGTAGGAGAGATAAAATCGGATAAAAATATTGCAATTAGGATAAAGATAAAAACAAGTGTTGCAATTAATATAATGAATTTTTTTTTTTTTGCTGCAAATTAATAAAATGAATTGTAATATAGGGTAATGATTGATTTAGGCAAATATATTCCATGTTTCCTTAATTAGTATTCCCTATTAATATAGGGATTTATGAGATCATGCATCGCTCTTGCACGGTTAATCTTTTTACTTGTAACTAGCCTTTTGGCCAGTTCAATGCATGTGTTATTACCTAGTGCGTCTTGTGTGTAGCTGGCCACACCATGTGACCGCTTAAAGAACAAATTAAATCTTATAACAGTGACCGAGTAACCCCTGTAATACTCACCGAGTAATCCCTGTAATACTCACCGAGTAACCCCTAAGTAACCCTTATAACAATGATGAAGTTTCCCATTTAAAACTGAACGACTAATCCCTATAACACTAACAAAGTAACCCTTATGATGGATTACCGCACCGTGTGGCCAGCCACATATAAAATATGTAATTACTTACGGGTTATTTTTCTTGAGGTGTATTGCTTGTTAGTATTATGCATAAGTATTCATCATGTAATAATAAAATTTCACTATAGAATAAAATTATAACCAAAAAAAAAAAAACACTATAACAAGAAAATGTTGAATCAATAATGAATGTGATACGCTTATATAATTTGCACAAATAACTAGCTCAAATTATCTCTAATGAGGATAATGAAAATTTTCATGTTATTACTTAAAGAGAAGGCATTGTGTGAGTCTTGCCTCACTAATAACTTCATGAGTCAAGCCTTAAAATAACCATCTCAGCTTATAGATGATATCACATAACAGGGATGATATTATAGACACAATAGAAGATATAATTCAGCTTATAAATGATATCATTCAATTTATAGATAGTATTATAGAACTAATAGAGGATATCATCCGGCTAATAGATGATATCATATGACCAATAGAGGATATCATCCAGCATATACATAATATCATATAACCAAAAGAGGATATCATCCATCCTATAAATGATATCATCTAAGTAATGGATGATATCATATGAACAATAGATGATATTATTCAGCTTATAGATGATATTATAGAGTCAATAAAGGATATCATCTAGGCAATGGATGATATTATAACACAATAGATGATATCATATAATCAATAGAGGATATCATCGCGCCTATAGATGATATAATATAACCAATAAAAAATATCATTTTACCTATGGATAATATCATCCAAACAATGAATGATATCATATACACAATTACAACTATCATCCAAACTACGAATTATATTATCAAGCCATAAAAATTGCCAAAACTTTTTTGTTCTAATGTTATTTATTTATTTTATTTTTTATTTTTTTTTCTAGTGTAAGTATGCACAAGATCCAGCCTACCGCTTCTCCATGAGTAAGTGTCTGATCTCTTTGCTGATCTCTTACATTTAGATGTAGAAACACTCAACCTAAAGTACTATGTTTTGCAGCAAGAGATTGCCAAATAAAAAAAATTTAAAAATTAAAAATAATAAAATTAAAAATCAAAAGTTGTTATCCATCATCATCTACATTGAAATATTCTCTAACATCTCAAGATTCTCAACACCCTTGCGTCAAATTCGTCGACTTGAAGTATCGATTTCCGGCGATCTCTTTGATGCTTGCTTTGTTTTATCTCGGTTAAACCTGGGCTTGATTTTAGCCAATACTTTGCGCTTTGAATATCAAACATACAAAGCCTAATAAATCAATTTAATACAATTAGAAATTTAAGCAAAGTCGAGCAAAATTCATCGGAGACGCTGCGCTGCCATTATTACTTGAGGAGAGAGAATTGTGAGGAAGGAGAAGAAGAGAGGAGAGAGAGAAGGGGGGGGGGGGGGGAGGGGGTGGAAGCCATTGTTAGCTTTGATTCTTGAGCAAGTTCATCGTTTTCGTGGTTCATGAATTTGGTAGTTCCGACTGACCAAGTATTGGGTGAGGCTTTGTGTTACTTAAATTATGCAAGTTATAGAATATTTAAAGTCTTTAACGATATACTACGTATAATCTCGTTTTTTTTTTGTTTTCTTTTTTTTTTTTTTTTTTTTTTTTTTTTTTTTTTTTTTGTTGAAACAACGTATAGTCTATATTTAATTTAGTAGGAATGTGAAAGAAATAATGCTGATTAATTATATGTAATGAATTAAATTTAAGAATAATAATTTTATTATAAATGTTTTATAAAAAATAGAAAAAAAATGTAGTGAGTGTGATATGTGGCGCCCTTAATTTGTGTTATTATATACTCGTACTAATAATAAAAATAGATTTCTTATTGTTATCCTAACATTATGTTGGTAGGTATTAAATACTCCGCATACCGTTTTAGTAAAATAAAACTTATAATCTTTTATATAATTGCACAGTCAATTTAATGACAAGCCTCCAAACTCTTTATCCTTAAATCCTATTAACTTCTCTATTTATTATTTTTTTTTTTTAAATAAAAAAACTATAACTTATCACCAATTAACTTCCCTATTTTTTTTATAAAAAGTTAAGTAAGCTAAAAATAAGACCCTAAAAAAGTCTATGTTCTCTCTTTTCAAACCTAGCCACCATATTAAAACTTAGGGGTTAGCCCTAAATTCTTCTTCAAGTTAATGTTTTTAACTAATAAAAATCACTAACAGTATGGTGATTATAATCAGTCCCTCCATGTAGGGTTTAGTTGGTTCCCTAATGGTGGGATTTTTAGTATTGATTGTTTGTTTGTTTGTTTTTCGTGTTGTAGGGATACAAATTTGGAAGATTTGTCTTGCAAATTTGTGGAATTACTGGTCTGTTGGTTTAGGGGTGCAGGTTTAGAAGATTCGTCTAGCAAATTTGCCGATCTTGATGACCAATAAAGTTTTATCACTTTTGCAACTATACATCAATAGAGCTCCATCAATAACAATGCCAAGACATTTAAAATTATTAAGAAGCAGTTCAGAAGCGATGTCATTAGTTTAGAGGTGTTAAACACTTGTATTGAGAGTTTTACAATAATCTCCTCATGCCAAATTTGAGGGGAAAAAAAAACTAATAACTAACCAATGATTAATATATTGCGTGCTTTAGCAAAGATATGCTTAAGAGTCAATCAATAAGGTGCCTCCAAAATCCCAACCTAGCTTCCTTATTCACTCTCACTTTAAAAACTACTCCCTCCTTTTTCTCTAACAAAAAAACTTATCCAATTTAAATTTAAATTTAGAAAAATTTAAAAAACAACACATTGCTATCTATTATATAATTTAAGAGTCATTTTTCCAACTTTGAACTACAGTTACTCCAAACTCTTAATCCTCAACTTCTGTTAACTATACTACTTTTTTTTTAACCCATCATTTTCCATTATAATTTCCTATTCTATAACTTCTACTAAACAAATTCAATAATCCCATAAACATATTTACAAAAATAAATTAATAATACAACAATAATAAAAAAAAACATTGATGATATATACCATTATATATTCCGTGCTTTAGCACAAGTACACTCTAGTATTAGAAATTTAGAATCATCTATAATTTTGAAATTCCTAAAAAATAAAAGAAAATTTTATTCTAATAATCCCACATTTTCGCTGCTAATAATCCCACCTTTTGATTATTATCTAATAATCCCACTCTTAGGGGGCATTATCTTCTAATGGTCCTTTATGACTGGTAACCTATTCTTTGGGTAAGTAAAGGTTTTTTTTTTCTTTTTCTTTTTCTTTTTTTAATTCCTTGGCTACTCACCAGCTTTAGAACGGGAATAGGTTGGGGTAGGGTTTTTCGGGAGTGAGAGTGATGGGCGTTTCACAAGTGATGGACGTTTCACAAGGATGGGCATGGCTGGGATCTGGTGTTTTGGGGTCGTGGGTGTGGGTGGCTAGTTGCAGGGGGGAGGGATGGTCTGCCTAGTCGGGAAGAATGGAGGTAGGAGGAGAAAAGGATAAGGAAGAAGGAAAGGGGAAAAAAATTAAATGAAAAAATATGTTTCGGCGAATTACAAAGTGCCACATGGCATGTTATCCATTCTAGCGGTTACCAACAGGACAGAGACCAGTAGAAGAAAATACACCCCAAAAGTGAAATTATTAGATAATAATCAAAATGTATGATTATTTTTTTTTTTGAAAGGAATGTTAGAGCAATTTTATTAAATTTGTAGATCCATCTCCGCTAAAGATACAATGTTTTGGGGAAAAGAATCAAAGCGTATGAGCTCTGAATGATCCCCTATAAAGTCCCTAGCAATAAGGTGAGCAACAGTGTTGCAACAACGCTTAGCGTGAGAGAAAATACAACTATTAAATCCAGCTCTGCACATCCTAATATCATCAAAAACATTAAAGATTGGGGCATGGCCCTTCGAATTGGGCGAGATGCAAGAAATCACATTGAGGGAATCCGACTCGATCCATATATTTTCGAAACCGAACCTTCTGGCAATGATCATACCATATCTAACAGCAACGGCTTCGGCAATCTCTGGGGACTGCTGGACAATGGATTGAGTAGCAGTCAACACAATAGTTCCATCCTCATTCCTGCCCACAACGCCAACAGCTGCTTTACCTGCACTACCTACATGTGCATCAACATTCAGTTTAAGTACACCTCTTAGGGGAGGAAGCCACACACTGTTACTTTTAATCCCCACCCTTTTCTGAGGATTAAAGACGCACTTTGCATAAGCACCGTAATCAGCCACCCATCTGCAGAGATTCCCAGCCAGCACTGTCGGATTGCTGCGAACTCCTTCAAATAGGAGCAGGTTTCTGCAACGCCAAGCAGCCCATATAAGAGCTGCTATTTGGTAGATACCATCACCCTGCACCTTCTGGTCAAGCCATACCCATCTATCTGCAAAAGATTCCGCAGGCGCCTCATCTACTATCCTCCTGTATTGACTATGTAGCCATATTTCTTTAGCCATGGTACAATCAAACAAAGCGTGTAGGATAGTTTCATTCTCATTCTCGCAGAGTGGGCACTTACTGTCACCAACAATGTGACGTTGCATTAGCCGGCTCTTTACCGCTAGATTACCTTTTGCCGCATTCCACAGGAAGTGTTTAAGTTTTGGTGGACCTTTGTAGCTCCATATTATACACCATAGTTTGTGTAGGCTGTTTGTATCCATAGCCTCAATCGCACCTTTCCTGGCCAGATAATAGCATGATTTGACAGAGAATATACCATTCTTTGATTGCATCCAGAAAGTTGTATCTCTTGTCTCATGAATTGGGAGAGGAAGAGAGAGAACCTGGCTGCATAACTCCTCACCAAGCACCTGCCGAACCTTCATTGCATCCCAAATACGACCATCTTCTGTTAACAATTCACGAACCTTCATCAAACTCCGGAGGTCTTTGTAGGTGAATAGGCCGTCTACTATTTACTAGCCAAATGTCAGTCCAGATATTAATGTCACGACCGTTGCCAATTTTCCATGCCAGACCGTCTCTGAACAACCCCTTGGCTCCCCAAATGCTTCGCCAAATGTAGCTGGGGTCATGCCCTCTGTTTGCCTTCAATACACTCGATTTTTTGAAGTAGCGAGCCTGTAGAACTTTGTACAACAGGGTATTCGGATTTGATTGCAGCCTCCATATCTGTTTAGCAAGAAGCGAGAGGTTGAAACATTTCAAATCTCTAAAGCCTAGGCCCCCAAGAGCCTTTGGACGACACAGAGCATCCCATGACTGCCAGTGGAGCTTCCGTTTATCAACCGTCGTACCCCACCAGAATCTATTTAGGATGGTCTGTATTTCATCGATTAAACCATCCGGGATATGAAACATACTCATCATGTACGTAGGTATTGCTTGGGCCACTGCTTTAATTAGGATTTCTTTCCCCGGCCTCGAAAGAAACAACTCTTTCCACCCATTTAATTTTTTCCATATCCTCTCTTTCAACCCGGCAAATATGGCGTTTTTGGATTTGCCAATAACGGTGGGCAGTCCAAGGTACCTCTCATGCTTATCAACCTCCCTGACCCCCAATGTGCTAACAATAGTAGCCCGTCTCTCCGGAGGAACACATCTACTAAAAGCAATCTCCGTAATTAAAATGTATGATTATTAACAGAAAACCAACTAAAAGTGGGATTATTAGTATCAATTTTTTCCAAAAATAAAACCCAAAGATTGAAAAAGTCACGAGTATGACCTTGGACTTCCTAAGTGAATTGATAATTCACATTTTAGCACTTGACTTATCCAAGAGGTCACACTAATCATACCTTAATAAATCTTTCCTCACATTTTTATTCCAAATCCATTAAAATAAAAAAAGTCCAACCACCCTTAGCAGAAACGGCAATTTTCATGGACCCAAAACAACTACAACCGTTGATCTATGGCGGGCGCTCAATCTCAGCCGTTAGTATTATTTTTATTCCACCAAATACCGCGTCACTTATCCCCCTTCTACCGCGCTTTTCCTCTCTCCTTTCCTCGCATCTGCTAAGCGCTATCAACGTGACTGCTCCCCGTTGTCTCACAATACTTTACCCATTTCATTCGGATATTATACACTTACCAATATACAACTTTGATCATTTATAAATTTACGATATTATTTATTAATTAACAAAATTTATATAAAACAATTAAAATACATCGAGATTAATCCAACAATATTATTACAAGTTTACAACAAAATTTTTTTTAAAAAAAAAAATTACTTTAACATATACACAATTCATATGCTAATTTTTACTATATATTATTATCAATACATAAATGTAATTAACATTAATTAAAATGTCTTCACATTAAGTACAACAACGAGTTTTATGTGCGGTTGTCTACACCATTTTACTGTTTATAAAATAACAAAGTAACCCTTATAATATTGATCGAGTAACTTTTATAACCACTGGCGAAGTAATCCTATAACACATATTAATTAATATATGTAATAAATATCCACATATTAATTTATGTTATTTTTAAATATTTAATTACATTACAGTTAAGATATTAATGATAAAAGAAGTACAATAATGTAAAAACTACCACTATTGCAAATAGGCAAAAACAACTGGGTGAAAATAACGTGAGGGAGGGAGTACTTAAGTAGCATCATCAGACATCAGACTTGGTCTTTCTTCAACGTTATATATATATATATATCACTCACTTCCACCCCACCAAAAATTAGACTAGTCCTCAATCTCATAATCATCATTTCTAAGAATTTTTTTTTTGATTTTTTTTTTAATAAAGAGAGCATTTGAATTTGATCATCATATCATAAGCGATGTCTGAATTTCCGATGGCGGCGGCAGCGGGAGGTGGCGGTCAATTTCCCGAATTTCCGGCAGTTTATACTCATGGTGGACAGTTTATACAGTACAATATTTTTGGTAACTTGTTTGAAGTTACTGCTAAGTATCGTCCTCCGATCATGCCTATTGGTCGTGGTGCTTATGGCATCGTCTGGTAAATTTTTTATCTTGTCCGGAATTAATTGTCATGTTGATATAATAGTGTCGGTTGTTTGGTGATCGATTTTTTTTTCTTATGTTTTTTTTGTGGGTTGTGTTGGGCAGTTCGGTTTTGAATACAGAGACAAAAGAGATGGTTGCGTTGAAGAAGATTGCTAATGCTTTTGATAATTACATGGATGCTAAACGTACTCTTCGTGAGATCAAAATCCTCCGCCATTTTGATCACGAAAATGTCTGTTCTTTGTCTATTTTTTATTTATTTATTCTTTTTTATTTGATCATGGATGCCAAGACTTTTTCAAAAAATTAAAGTTTGCGAAAATAACCCATACATGAGTTGTCCCAACATTAATAAATAACTCATACATGAGTTGTCCCACATTTTTTAATAACCTATACAAGTCACAAAAAAGGTTACTCCGCTTATTTTTATCAGTTGGTTTTAGTGTTAAAATCGCTAGTCATATACTTCGTATATGGAAAAGTTATTAAAATCGCTTGTTTTGTATAGTTCATCCTGTACAAACTCGGGTATAACTAAGAATTTGTGTATGTTTTTTTCTTAACAAAATTTTAATTACTTTAATTTGTGGAATTGGGTTACATGACAGTTGAATGACTTGACAAATTTGCTGGATTATGAATTTAGTAAAAGTTTTACTTGATTAGCATACTTTATTTAAAGTTGACTTTGGAGTATTAAAAAAGGTTCAAAGTTCAAACTTGTTAAGAAAAGTTTGATAATTTTATAGATTTTTTTTTTCTTTTTTAAAGCCAAACTAATAGTTGTTACTGCCTGCTTGAATCAGATCATAGTATTAAGAGATGTTATACCTCCTCCTGTACGAAGAGAATTCACTGATGTATATGTCGCGACTGAGCTTATGGACACTGATCTTCATCAGATAATTAGATCCCATCAGAGTTTATCAGAGGAGCACTGTCAGGTATAATACTCTTTCACTTTTGGACGAAAACTAATTCATTTGTATATACATATGTTTATCATTATAGTGCTAATGGCTTGCTAACAAAGTGGTCATATTGTGCTACTTCTATAAGGCAATGTGAATCACATAGACATGAACACGTAATAGGGCTTGTTCGTTATGATCATTGTATGTAGTACGAGATATATGAAATCTCATACCAAAAGATGTAAACCGAGGATAATAATTGTTGTATATTGACACTTTATGACAAATAATTGGGTACCTTAGAAAGTTAGAAGTACTTTAGGACGTTATTATGTCAATGTACGTTTTGAAGCTTCTTCATTAGACTCTGTGATAAAACAGACAATCACATTATCTAACAGTAAGGTTAACTTGTTTCACCACACCTTTATAAGTATCTTTCAATAAATTCATTTAGTAGTCATATTTGTTGTTTTGGAACTTCACTCACAATATTCCATATATGCTTGCAGTACTTCTTGTACCAGATACTTCGAGGGCTTAAATACATACATTCCGCTAATGTCATACATAGAGATCTGAAGCCAAGCAATCTATTGATAAATGCAAATTGTGATCTCAAGATTTGTGATTTTGGTCTTGCACGACCAACCTCAGAAAATGAACACATGACTGAATATGTTGTCACTAGATGGTACAGAGCACCCGAGCTTTTGCTCAATTCTTCTGATTACACTGCTTCAATTGATTTGTGGTCTGTGGGCTGCATATTCATGGAGCTCATGAACAGAAGGCCTTTGTTTCCTGGCAAGGACCATGTCCACCAAATGCGGCTGTTGACAGAGGTGAGATTTTCGGAGACAAACTAGAATCAATTCATTTTACTCAAAAAGATTGCTTCCTTGCTGTCAATATTATGTCATTTTTCCTCAACTCAGCAAATTGATTCACATTGTTCTAACCTTTCATAATTGAGAATGTGATGTAATTTTAGTAGGAAATCTTCTATAATAACTCATTACTACTCTCTTTTATAAGTATCTTGGAAAGTTTAATCATATTGTTAACTAGGTACGAATATGTGACATTAATTTCAGACAAATCCCGGAATACTATATATCTGTCACTGTCATTTTTGGAGGGACGGAGTATATGAATGCAATATTAAATAGGTTATATACATGCTGTGTTTCGCTGTTTTCTTCCATATGTATTAGAGATCCAGTGATTGTTTTCACTTTGCAGTGATCATTAGACTTTGCGAGTTGCTCACACACCACTAGTTGAGTTTAATTGGTGTAATATTGCCAATGTTAGCTTGAGTACTGATTCAAGTTTCCTCTTCTTTTCAGCTTCTTGGGACACCTACTGAAGCTGATCTAGGTTTTCTTCATAATGAAGATGCAAGAAGATACATACGACAATTGCCACCACAACCTCGTCAACAGTTAAGACAAGTTTTCCCCCATGTCAATCCTTTAGCAATCGATCTTATTGAAAAGATGCTGACATTTGATCCCACAAGGAGAATTACTGGTAAGTTCTTGTCACTTGGGATATTGCATTCTTGAAAGAAATGATCTTTTCCACCATATGTAGAAACCTTGCCTTTTTATATACTCGACATAGCTTGATGATTGTCGTAGTCATTTGGTATTCAACTCTGTTGAAACACCAAAATCGTCGTTCATTGACTCGCATGCACGTGTATAGGGTAATGAAACGAAGAAACTGAGATCTCAGACAATCACATTTATTAGGAGACTTCTCTGATGCTCTTCATTACCTATAATTTTCAGTATGACTAAAATTTTTACTTTTTACTCATGCAGTTGAAGAAGCATTAGCACATCCTTACCTTGCTAGATTACATGATATCGCGGATGAACCTGTATGCCAAGAGCCATTCTCATTTGATTTTGAGAACCAGGCCTTAACTGAGGAACAGATGAAGGACATGATCCATCAAGAAGCTTTAGCACTCAACCCAGGATACATATAGCATGTGCCTTTGAGAATCAACTCTTCTCTTGTATTATATCAGATCATTGCTAATTGACAGCTGCAGGCCTGCAGTAGTGCAGTATGATGGCTTATGATTTTTCTGGTACAGTGATATGTTTGAATTTTTTTATTTAGGCATATGATGTGTAATATAAACATTCAATTTTCGATATCAGCTTCAGTAGTTCAGATTGTTTAAAACTTGCTAGAAGAATATGTAGTGTTGTAATAACTTGAGTCAATGTACCTTTGCTTTTGTTATAACTTGTAAGTTCATCAATAATGGCATTATATTATTTGATTGGCAGCTTATGCTATACAAGGAACTAAATTCAGTTTAAAACAAAGTTCTAAATTCAGTTTCTTATATATTCAATTTCCTAGATACTTCAAGTTTCATTTATTCATATATCTTAAAAGTTATTACATTATATGTTTTTTATTTCCTTTTTATGAAGACGATTTGGCAAACCCTCTAGGTTATTTGTTTTATAGTTTTAATCATCTATATATAGAGTTAAATGAGAATATAATAAAAATGAAAAGGATTTTATATTGAAGGAGCACGACCTATTGAAGGATTTTTTTTATTGAAAGAACACAAACTATCTATAAGCTTATACTCCTTACAAGACTAGAATTAAAAAAGTTAAAATTAAGCTAAGGGCAATAGCAATGTTTGTTCACATGTCACATCAGCATCATACAAACCTATCACCCAACAAACTTATTACCACCATGTGAACACTGCACCAATCAAATGCGTTACTAAACCGACGAATATGATCTACTGTCCAACTTAAATTAATATATGTAACCTTTGACTCCCTGAGAGCTTGAATCGGCGAGATTGAATCCGTGTAAATAGTAACTGCCCTTAAGGAACCCCTGATTGCCCACCAAAGACCTTCCAAACAAGCATTCATCTCAACATGCAGCGTTGATGAGACAGCCTAAATGAAGCTCCGATCCTCCCACAATTCCCAGGTCCCCATGGGTCATATTCTCTGGGCACCACACCATTCCTGACTTATGCGTGTGTTTATTCCAATAACCATTCATCAGTATGACAGTTGGGCAATGTTGAGCACCAGAATCTTGTAGTATAACATGCATAAAACCCCGGAGGCCACTCAACAACCCATTCAAGCATGTGTAAAGAACTCAAATTGTCATTCGACCTTCGTCGAAACAAAACGGACATGTTTAAGGTTAAGGCTTAATAGGTTAGCTTCTCCCATTATTGAATGAATTAAAACTATATTAACACAAGAGATAATCTAGTCAATCTCAATTATTAGGAAACAAGCCTATCAGTTTAGGATTACCTATTAAATAAAACCAAATATCTTGAAGATATTATTCACTAAATCATATATGAAACTAAATAAATGCTCCTAAATATATTATTTTCCTAATACCAGTATGAAATAGGAAAAATGGAAACTAATCATCCCACCTTTGGCTTTTCTGTTCAAAACTATTCCGCTTTTTCAAAATCAGAAAACAATCCCACTTTTGACCCCCCATCTGCTCAAAACAAGCCATTTACCGGTTTGTCAAATTAGTAACCTATTTAAGAAGGTGACTTGACACGTGTCACCTTCTTATTGGTTTTTGTTTTTTTAATAATTTTTTTTACAAAAAGGATAATTATAAAAAGAATTAAATATCCTTTCCCACTTCCCCGACCCCTTCCCTTTCCGGACTGACCCATCTCCCCCTGCCGGGGCTAATTCCTCCCCTTGCCGTAGCAAGACCTCAACCAAACCACAGGCAGCTCCTTTCTCGCCAACAACAACAGCAATTGATGCAAGCAGCATGTCACGTGCTGACTACTTTGCCCTAGTCACGCATCGTGCGCCACTTGCTTACGGTCCATTGTAAGACAAGTCAGGCTTTCTCCCTTGACACTATTCTTTGTGCCCACGTAGCACAACCCTTTGTGCTACTAAAATATATTTGCTAGCACGTCCCCTCGGTGCTAACAAGACCCCTTGGTTGAATAAGCACTCACCCTAAGTGTCTTAGTCCGAATTTACGACTAAGTGTCGTAGACAATTGAGCACACAAGCTATCACCCTTGCTAGTATGCCTGATAACTCACTTGGCACCTTCATGCCTTATTTTCCCTCACACTCTCTAAGTGTTTGAAGGAAAGAGATTGAGTTGCAAGAGAACACAAGTGCTTTTGGAATGCTTTTTGGATTGCTCTCAACTTGAATGTACAAATGAGCCTTGGAGCCTATTTATAGTGCTCCATCCTACTTACAAGGGTTGTCTAGAATATTCCTAACCTTCTCAAATGGAGGGTTCTAGACTACACCAATCTAGAGAGTTCCCACCTCCAAAGGAACATACATGCAAGGAGGTTTCTACACACTTCCTACCTAGAATGCTAAGGACTACCTTAGAACATTCTAGAACTTTACAAGAGTTATGTACATATGTAGAAGAAACTAGAAGACTCCTACTATGTACCAGACCTTCCTTGATTATTCTAGAGTCATCCACTCTAGAATATTCTTCCAAAGAACCTCGTAGATAACTCCGGAACCTTCTAGAAGCATCTCGCGCTTTCCGGACTACCTGCTGCCAAAACTTGTACTTCGGGACCTCAACTCGGAAAACTGTCACCACCACGGTCATCCTCGGCCCAAAATACGATGGACCCCCATATTTGAGCCCATTTGGACTTCGTTTGGGCCCCAAATGGCCCATTATTGTGTTATTGTCACTTGGGTGCTCACTAGGATTTCACTACCTGGGCTAAATAAAGCTCTATAGGGAGAAATACTCAGCTAGGCACCAAGGGCAAGCCCCCTAGCTGCGATTATACCCTGTTGCCTAGTGACCCAAATGACGCCCATGGTTGGCAAGGGAGATGACCCGTGACAAGCAGCTCACATTGCGGAACCTCACACCCATCAATTCACGCCCTGCGCACCTCTCTCCTCAACCATACCCTATGCTACATCTCTGTTCTCCTACCATCTCACCAATTTCACAATCCATCTCCCTTTCTTCTCTCTCTCGCTACCCTCAATTGCAGCAACCCCGCAAATATCATTGCCACACATCAGCCACTGTCAAAGCCGTCCTCGAGCAAACAACAGCCCACATCTCTCCACCATTCCCGCTCAACAACGCAATTAATTAAGATCGAACGGTGGTGGTTTGATGATGCCGATTTTCGATGATGATGAACGGTGGTGATTCAATGATCAAGATTGATGATGGATTTTGATGGTGTTTTGTAATCCCCGTATTTTTAAATAGTTTATAAATGAAATTTTATTTTATTTATAAAATTTATTTGTATTTTTCCAAAATTTAATTTTGAAAGTTTCAAATTATTAATTGGGTCAAAAATTATTTTAGGCTAAATTATTTTATGAATTTATATCCTATCACCGTACCCATTATCATAAAAACAAAGTCTAACCCATTTGTTTATTTAATTGGCTCATTATTTTCATAAGGTCCAATTCTACCCTACAATTCTCTCTTATAAATACTCCATGAATTCCCAAATTTTCCCCATACAAAAAGGTTAGTGTTTATTTCTTTTCCCTTTATTTTCTTTATTTTATTTTCCCTTTATTTTTTTTATTTTCCTTTTCTTTTCCTTTTCTTTTTCTTCTTTCTTTTTCTTTCCTCCTTCCTTACGTGAGATTGGTTCTAACTTTTCCTCACGGCTGCTCTATTTTGCCGCCTGCAACCACGCCGCCTAACTGTCGGCCACCGGCCACCTGACCTTCGGCGACGCTGCCCACAGTCGGCAGCCCCCTTTCCCTCTTCTTCCTTCTTTCTTTCTCTCTTTTTTTAGTTTATTCCAAGCTTTGATCTTTATCAGCTTTGATCTTTAGGGTTTAAAACTTTATTTTTATGGTTTTAGGGCCTAAAAACGTGTTGCTAAAGTTATTTGATTATACTATGTTTAATTTATGTTAAAACTCAAATATTTTGATGATAAATAAATTTTCATATTATTAAAGTTTTAATCTTGGGTTTAAATTGTATTGATTTCATGTGTTTCAAGTCTCTAACTTCATTAAACAAGGGTTGTGGTTATTTTATGATTATAAAGTTTGGAACTTTAAAGTTTAATTGCAAGAATAAATTTTCAGATTTTAGGTTATTGTTTTTGAAGCCTCTAAATGCGTTGAAAAGCCTACTAACTTAATATATAATGTAAGTAGTTTCAAAGATTACTATAATTTTGAGATTTCATGTATAAAATAAATTTTTAGATTTTTAATAAACTTTAAACTTGCTGTAATTTCATATATAAGGGTGTGTTTTAAGGTTTTTATGTAGAAAACTTAAAGAACAATATATAAGCTTTTAATTCTAGCAAAAAGAAAGGTTTTAAAGTATTGTTTAATTAAATTTTGAAGGTTTGTTTGAGTTTTTATGAAACTAATTGAATTCTTATTATATATTTCAAGTTTAGATTGTTGTATTCACACATTCTACTATTAAATTAAATTTTCAGATTTTTAATCTTGATTTTAAAGGTTTTAAATCATGGTTTTATGATGGATTTTTAGGTTTTTAACATACTAACCTGCTACATAATGATTATTTCAGGAAGAGACGACCATAAGGTTGTTTTATAATTTTAAACTAAATTTTCAGATTATGTTCTTACCTTAAAGTTGCTAGAATTTCATGTTATAAGCTATATTTTCATGATTTTAGCATATAAACTTATAGTTGAACTATTAAATTATTAACTTTTGCTATTGGGAACAATTTAAAGGCATTATTTCAATGGTTTATGGGGTTTAAAAGTAGGTTGGTATTGCTGAAAATTATATTGCTTGGGTATTGATTGAATTATTATTGTTTGGTTTAAGAGAGGGCTTTGTAGAAGGCGATTTCTAGTTCCTAAAGTGGTCAACCAACTCGTTTACTCAAGGTACGTACAAGGATACGAAAAACCTTGACTTTAGAAGCATGTTTAAGGACTTGGAAAATTTAGAATCATGTTAGGAAACTTGTAGATTGGTTGGAATTGTATGGTAGTAAGTTTGATTGGTGATTAATGTGATGATTGGTTTTGTTTCATGTATGAGAAATGCGTATTAATTTATCTTGTAAGTATTATTTATGCATTAACTTGCAAGATGAGCTTAGAGGCAAAGGTACGTAAATATATGGTATTGATTTTTTTATTACTCGTTTATGATTATTGAAATGGAATGAATAAAGGGAGAATTAAAGTCTTATAAGACGAGGTTGAGGATTGAGGTGCCTTATGCATTTAAGGTGTTTATACACCGAGGTAGTTAAACGATTCAATACTAAATATTGTTTGTCACTACTAAATCAAAAATT